AAGATTGTTTTGTATGGGTGATTTGTTTCTTTTCTCTAATAGCTTCAAAGATTCTATTCTTGTGTTGAATTTGTGGAATCTTAATTATGATATGGCTTGTTGTAGAATTTTTTTTTTTTTATCATGCCTAATTGGAGTTCTGTATGCCTGTATGTCAAATTCTTTTTCCCTTGCAGGAAAGTTTTTTGCCATGATATCTGTGAAGTTTTTTTTTTTGTTGTTGTTGTTGTTGTTTAGTATCATTTGTGCGATCTCCTGCTTTTTCATCAACTCCAGCAAGCTTAAGTTACGCACCTTTGCCTCATGTAGCAGCTGCTGGATTGATTTCTCATGGTCCCTTGCTATTTTTATGAAATCTTTCTTTTCATGATCGCTAACTACAAGCCTGTCGTGTGTATCTGAGATCCTGTTCTCACACTGGTTTATCCTGCTCTGGATACTTTAATAGAATTTTTATTCTCATGGATATCTGCCTAAATCTGCCTCTGGGTTCTCTTTCCTATGCTGAGTATTCATGGCTTTCATAATTTTCTTATGGTTCTCTGGTTTTTTATCCATATGAGTTTTCATTGCGGACACCATCTCTGCAGTTATCTGAGAAGTGATCTTTGATTTGATTTCTTTCTAGAGCCTCATTCAGGGCCGGGGAGATGGCTCAGTAGAATAAGCGCTTGCCTGGCAAGCACAAGAGCCTGAGTTCAATCCCTGGTTCCAAAAATAAAATAAAATAAAGCCTCATTCAGTTGCTATGTTCTTACCACTTTAGAGAGGCCAAATGGGTGGCTTTTGCCTTGTTCCACCTCATTGTCCCTTGGATTTGAAAGGCAACAATTTTAATCAGGAAAGTATTAGGACTTTTTTGTTGTTGTTCTTGTTCTTTTTTAAAAGATTGTACTCTAGCCAGGCCTAGTCCCTGCACCAGTAAGCCCAGCACTCAGGAGGATGAGCCAGGAGGGCTGATGCAAGTTGGAATCCAGCCTGGGCTGCATATTGAGACTGTTTCAAAAATCGAAAAAAATATAAGAGATCACACTCTGTTAGCTAGTGTGTCAGAGTAGTGTTTCCGGACACAGGAGGCCGATGAGGAGCTGAGTGCTGTAGAGAGAGAACCAAGTTGAGTGTGGTGGTGCACACACTCCTACTCCCAGCGTAGAGCAGGCTGAGGTAGGAGGAGCACAATTTGAAACCCAGCCTGAGCAAATTAGTGACTTGCTGATCAATCAAGTGGAAGACGTGGGGATGTACCTCACCACAAGGTTATAGATTCAACCTCCGGTACTCTCCCTCAGAACAGAAAAAAATGATGAGAAAAGCTGAGCTATAGCTCTGGCATAATCTGAGAGTTATTAGGAGTCTGAGATTAACAAGTCTTGGTCATGATTCCATCTGGGCAACTGAGAAGGGGAGAAATTATATACGGTTTTACATACACATTTTTCGTTTGTAACTATGGCATATATACTGATTTACATTTCTCTCTGTCTCTTTTTTCTTTTCGTTTTTCGAGACAGGGTCTCACTATGTAGTTCAGGTTAGCCGCCAACACTTGGTGATCATCCTGCCTCAGCCTCCTGGTTAAGATTGTAGGCATGCACCACCACACCCAGCTTCTCTTCTTTTCACTTACGCAAAACTGGTTTTCTATATAGAAATTGCCTGCAGCATTATTAGTTTAATGATTATAAATCAATCTCTTAAGTTGTTAGACTATTTATTTGTTAATGCTTTCTCTAATAAACATCTCTATTATTTCCTAATTTTTTGTTTTGTTTTTTTGAGACAGGGTCTTGTGTGTAGTTCAGGTTGGTCTTGAACTCACTAGCCCAGGCTGACCTTGAACTTGAAGTGATCCCCCATCATAGCTTCCCAAGTGCTGGGATTACAGGCATGTACTACCACATTTGGCTGTTTCCTAATTTTTTGGTATTTTTGTTAAAATTACAGTAAATAGCTTGGGATATTTTGCATTTTTTTCTTTAATCTTTTCTTTAGGATTAATTGCCCTTCCTTCCCAATATTAGATTGAACCCAGGGCCTTATGCATGGTAGGAAAGCACTTTAATATCTAGCTACATACCGCCCTTTTTATTTTATTTTGAGGCAAGGTATCACTGAGTTGTCCAGGCTGGACTCAGAAATTCTGTCCTCCTGCCTCAGCCTCCATGTGTATCACCATGCCTGGCTTTAGGATTAATTTCTTCCTTTTTTAAAAAATGTATTTAGTACAGGGCCCACAGGGTGTCACTACGTAGATCGGACTCGTAGTGATTCTCCTGTTTTCAGCATCTGAAGCACTGGGATTACAGGCGCACACCACCACACCCAGTTTCCATTGCTGTCTCAGTGCGCCCTGGGGGCGGGGCCGGCACTGGCATGATAAGTCAGGAATCGAACCCCCGGCCCTCTGCGCTCTGCCTAAGCAGGTGCTTTAATCTGCTGAGCTATTTGCCTGGCCCTCATTTCCTCTTTTGTTTATTTTATGAGGCAAGGCCTCACTGTGTAGCTCAGGGTGGCATTGAGCTCACTATAGCTCACTGTGTGGCCTGGAACTGATGGGGATTCTCCTGCCTCAGCTTCCTGAGTGCTGGGATTACAGGCATGTGCCACCATGCCCACACAACTAATTTCTATACGGGGGAAAAAAATTTCTACAAGTGGTTTTACCGAGCCAAAGAGTATGAGCCTTTTTAAAAAAACTATACTGTAGAAGTACAAATTCCCTATGATGAATGTGATCATTATGTGTGTCCAAAGTATACCAATAAAATTAATTTAAAAATTATACTGGTAGAAATTAATTTTGTTGTAGACCCAGGCAACAGAGAAATATGAAAAGTAAGTGTGAATATTCCATTTTGGTGGCAATTCTCTCAGTCCCTCTTCTGTAGCTATTTAAAATTGTGATAGATAGCCAAATTGCCATCTAAAACTGAGAGTGCCCACTTTAACAACTGTATTTTTTTTTCTTTAATTTTTACCAAGAGCAAGCCAAGGAATTACCTATTTCCTTGCTTCTGATTGCTAGCGAGGCCTCTTCTTAGGGTTTTATTGGGCTTCTCATGCCATCTGGAGATCACTTGTTTATATGCTCTGCCTAGTTTTCACTTTTCTGGTTTTCTTTTAAGTCATCTTTTTCTTCTTGACTTACAGGGTTTTTTTGTTTTTTTATTTTTTATTTTTATTTTTTTGGAATAAGGATTTTTTTTTTTTTTTTCTCCGAATGCCTTCAGGGCAGGTTTGGCTGGCTTGAGTTGTGGGGCTCGAACCACAGCAACCTGAGCCTGACTGCTTGGTTGAAGCAGCCGACTTACAGGTTTTTATTCTACAAAATAAACTTTTAAAAAATCAAACAATTGTTTTCAGGCACTCTGTTGTTTTTAACTTTTATTGTATGAAATCTTTAACTTTTATGAGGTTAGATTTATTGCTCTTCTCCTTTGGGAGGGAGTTCAGACTTGTAAATTTTGTAGGAGGACCCTCATCACTTTAAGATTGTAAAATATGCTTATGTATTTTCTTATAATATTGCTTAAATTTTCTTTCATTCTTTATCATTCTTTATTACATCTGGATTTTTTTTTTTCAGTACAGGGGATCAAACTCAGGACATTGCACTTGCCAGGCAGGTACTTATGCCACTGAGCTATATCCTACACCTGAATTTTCTGTTTTGCCTTTTTACTATATAGCCCATGTTAGCCTCAAAATCATGGCAACCCTCCTGCCTCAGTCTCCTGAATGCCGGGATTACAGGCATGTACCACCATCTTAAAATTTCATTTTATAGTGTGAGATCTAACTTTATAGTTTTTTTTTCCCTCTCATAGAAATTACTCCAAATCCTTTCCTTGCAGTTTACAATAGGGTGTAATCCTTTTCATGGATTTTTTTTTTTATTT